TGTTGGGAATAAACCCCCTACCAAAATAATATTCACGGTAATAAAAGCGGAATAATAATGTAGCACCGAGATACGGTAATTAACAAGAATAAAAGAGTAATAATGACACCAAGAATTTTACGTGGAAAACCCTTCTGAATAAGGGAAAAACTACGACCCCGAGAGGAGCAACTGTNCACGACCCCGAGAGGAGCAACTGATATCACTATAGTAAGGAATTTACACTTTGTAGGCCCGAGTAAAAATACTACAAAGACCACTACAATACTCAAAAGAAATAACCCTCTTTTGATATTTCACCTCACTACAATATCGCTCACACTCTCTATTTTCTTCACAGACTATTTTCTTATACCCTGTCTGTGAAACCTCACTCTTTCTTTCTAGCTCTCAGATATATTTTCCTCTGAGATTGTGTTAAAAGAATGAGAGTCGAAGCTCTCATTTTATAGGCAAAATATGCCTACCAACCTTGACCTTTCAACTTCTGCAGCCTGTCATTTTGACAGAAAAATGAGAAACGTGGGTTGCCTGCTTCTGCCAACTTTTAAAATGAAGAAGAAAGGAAGAAAACAACTTCCTTAAAATGTGGGCAGGACCCACAAATAGTTGATATTTCTTATATGAAATTAAATTGCTTACTTATGGAAGAGATATCACATTGTTACAGGTCCACCTGGTGCTAATTTGTTTATTTACCACATTCCTCATAACTTTCTTTATATCCATGTTCCTCTCTGTAAACTTACACTTTCAAGATTTTTTTTTTTCTATTAATGTTCCTCTCATTGGCAGACAATGAAAGTTCTATTCGGATGAGACAAGTCCTATAAGTCTTATGGATGATACTATGGTAAGTAAACTTATTCTATTTCATGTGAAAGGAAGTTTGTAGGTTGTGTATACAAATGAGTCTATTTGCATAAATCAATCTTTGTCTAGTATTTTGTTTCGACTATAGTATTGTGTCTCTAAGAGTATTTAGTAGGTTATAATGCAACTTTGTTTTGGGGAGTACTTTAATCAAGCTTTCACTGCTTACATATCTTTTTTACTTAAGTTGTTGCAGTTATTTCATATAGGTCTTGAAAAATATTTTTTTTTTATGTGTACTGTTTTTCGACTATGTATGAGTATTGTCTAACATATATAATCAACTAAAATAATTTAGTTGGATTTGAGCTTTCTTTTACGTACTACAGTATGGCTCATGGACACGTTTCATCCACTTAGACTTGGTTTCCTATCTCCTTAGAACACAAGGATACAAGATCCTATAGAACAGATCCTGTTCAAGTAAGTCCAAAAAAGTACTGAACTAGGCATAGTAGCAGAAATAGAAAGATGCCCATCCCATTGTATTTGGATTTGGAAAGAAGGAAGAAGATAGGCTCTTTATTCTTTTATAGCAAAAAAGAAAAAAAAAACAAAGAATTTTCCCAAAAAGGAAATGTTTGCCCAGAAAGAAAGAGAAAGAAATGAAGCAACCCATAGAGTATTGGGATTTTCTTTAAGAGAGTTGTTGCCCCTCTCTGTTCACCATTGATTTTCCTCCGTTATCAAAAAATCAACAGCGACATCTCTGTCTTAACTTTGTGTTTGTGTGCGTGTGTTGTTTATTCAGTATGGATGGATGCGCCATAAAGAGGTAGTGATGATCTTTTTCCTCTCCCATCGCTATTTTATATAGGAAGATTTGCACCAAAAGGATCGTTTGAATCTTCAATGCAGTTAAATAATCAAGGATTCTAAAAATATAATTTTGGAGTATGAGATTTTGGACTGAAAAATGTATACACGTTTTTCTCTTTGATCTTTTTCCTGTCCCGCTTCTTTTCCTCAATTCCTCTTCTGCAGTTAAACAAGTTTTCACTACTTTTATTTTACACATTTATATTCTATTGCTACTTTTTATCAAAATCTAATTATATTTATCTTCTTTTTAGGATGAGCATGCGTAAACCAATATTCCTGGCAATCCAGTTCATGTAATGCACAAGCTGGTGGAAGAAGATTTATTTTTCGGGTTAGTATTAGAAATAGAACTTAAGGACTGTGGATATATGATGCATTTGTTCGTTTTGTTAGTAAAAACATACTTTTAGGACTATTTAGTTTTTGAAAGTGAGTATATCAACTGCATCAAATATATGTATAGACTCTCTCTCTATATATATATAATTTATTATTTTTCATGCATTTGTGAAAATCTGAAAGAATATATGAATTGTGTATTTAGTAACAACTCATAAATTGTTGCTAAAGTAGTACTAGAGAATTTGTTGGCAAAAAAGTAATTATTGCCACAATAATAGTTATTGCTAAAATTCTTGATAACAGACTATTAACTTTACCGCCAATTTTTTTAGCAACAACTGATATTGTTGGTAAAAAGCTAATTTTGTTACAACAATAATTTTTGTTGCTACATATCTTCATAATCCACGACTTTATTGGCCTTCTACCAACAACAAATAACTTATGGTAACGGTGCACATTGTTGCGCTAGGTAAACTTTTGGCCACAATATTTTCTATTGTTGGATATACTTTTTCCATCGGTGTTTACTGCAACAGAGTGCAATGACTTTTTGTCGTTTCCAAAAATACTTTTGGCAACAACATTGAATATATGACAACAAAAATTATTATTACGAAACACCTTTTTTCTTGTAGTGACTGGAGTTCCAGTATAATATATCGGTCCAGCATAATGTCACGATCCAAATTCTATTATAGGTCGTGATGGCTCCCAACACCGTTGTTAGGCAAGCCAACCCTAATTAACTAGTGAGTTCTCATTTAATTTATTAAACATTCTCAATATTTACTTAACTTAAATTTAAAACAGTCGACAAATAGCGAATTTGTAAAGTAATAAAAACAGAAATGACTAAAGGAATCACGATTTTTGGAATACAACCCAAAAATAATAGTCTACTAATGTGTGTGACATGATCTAGTGTCACAAGTAAGAGGGCAACTAGTAGAATGTATAAAAGAGTATAATTATCCTACTGCCTAAAATAGAGTAGACAGTAATAGCAAAAGGAGAGACTCTGGCATGCTGCTGAACAACTTAGAAGGGGTAGCTCACCGTGAAATCTCAATCAAGTATCAGGGATGCACGCCGGTTGGGTAGCTAGATGCACCTGCCTCAGATCCTGTACAATTAAGTACAAAACCATAGTATGATTACATAAACAATATGTACCCAATAAGTATCCAGTCTAACCTCGAAGAAGTAGTGACGATGGGTCGACTTGACACTCACTAGGGTCAATAATAATATAATTTAAGTGTTACGCTAAGCATAGATAGCATGAATAATAATGACAGTTTAAGATCATGGAGAAGTAAGATATTCTTTCATAAACAACATTTCAAGTTTTAGTCATATCAAGTACTAACACTTACATTTCAAGCATTTTAAGTAGTGTAAATCATAGAAAATTCCAAATAAATAACATGCGCACATTATGTCGAGGTCGTACGGTCCGGTCCAATATAATATTAAATTGTGCACTGCCAGAGGGTCGAATGACGTGAACTATAGATGCATTTATTTTCTACTGAAGTAATTGACCTGATCCACAAATAATAATTATTATCAAGGAAGTACACATTGTCCATTTATAGTCAAGTAATTCATACAAATTCTCAAGTAAGTGAGTATAGTCGTCTATATTTGCTTACCAATTTCTAGCATGTAACGACCCGGCTGGTCGTTTCATGAGTTACTGCTCTGTTTTTTTCCATTTCTGCTTCTTTACATGTTGTTCAATTGTATTTTATCGCATCGTGTTGGTTAGTTTGGGTTCGGAGTGGTTTTGTAGAGAAATAAGACACTTGATCTCTTCAGTTGGCCTTTTAGTTGGAAAAGCCAACCGGAAGTTGACTTGTGAGTAAACGACCTCGGAATTTGATTTTTATGATTCGGATAGCTTCGGAAGGTGATTTGGGACTTAGGAGCATGATCAAAATGTGTTTTGGAGGTCCGGGGTAGATTTAGGCTTGAATTTGCGAAATTGGAATTTTGGCGTTTTCTGGTTGATAGTGGAGATTTTGATATCGTGGTCAGAATGGAATTCCAGAAATTGGATTAGGTCTATTGTGTTATTTTTGATGTGTGTGCAAAATTTCAGATCATTCAGACGAGGTTTGATAAACTTTTTGATCGAATTCGAAATTCGGAAGTTTTTGGAATTCTTAGGCTTGAATCCAATGATGATTTGATGTTTTGATGTTGTTTTGAGCGTTCCAAAGGTTGGAACAAGTTTGAATGATGTTATGGGATGATTTGATGTTTTGATGTTTGGTTAAGGTCCTGAGGGCCTCGGGTGAGTTTCGGGTGGTTAAACGGATCAAATTTTTGGTTTGGAAGCTGCAGATTTTCCTTTAGTTCTGTTGCAGTGGTTTCTTCTTCGCGATCACGTGAGGAGGCTCATGATCGTGTAGATCAGTTGTAGAGGCAGGCCAAGTTGTTCTTTATGTTCGTGTACCTGAGGCTGCGATCGCGAGTGTTGTTCAGGTAAAGCATCGCGAACGTGTGGGTTAAGTCGCGTTCGCGTAAGGTTAAGTGGATCAAGGTTGGACCATGCATTTGTTCATCGCGAATGCGGTCCCTGGTCCCCGATCGCGTAGGCGTGAGGGAGCAGTGTATCGCATTCGCGTGGGGAGAGACGCGTTCGCGTAGGTGTATTTCTGGGTCAGCCAAGTTTGTTCTTTGCAATCGCAGTGGTCTTCCCGCGATCGTGATTAAGGAAAATTACCTGGGCAGAATGTGTAAATAGCCATTTTCGCGATTTTTGGTCTATCTTCCACCATTGTTGGGCGATTTTGAAGCTTTTTGAGAGGGATTGAAGAGGTAATCGAAGGGGAATACTTGGAGGTAAGATTTTTGAACTCAATACTCAATTCTATGGTGATTTCTACCTAATTAGACATGAAATTGATGGGATTTAAAGCCTAAAATTGGGGATTTAGGGCTTGAAATTGGAGACTTTGATGTGAGGATTTGAGGGGACGTTTGTGATCGGATTTTGATGTAATTGGTATGTATGAACTCGTGAGAGAGTAAGGATTCTAGTTTTGTGATTTTTATTGAAATCCGAGACGTGGGCCCGGAGGCGGGTTTGGCCAATTTCGGGATTCTTGATGTAAATTGATTATTTTCGCAGGGGCTTCATTCCCTTAGTATATATTGATGATGTAATTCTGATTTTGGATAGATTCGCCGTGAGTTGAGGCCGAGTCAAGAGGCTAGAACATCGCAGAGTAGTATTTCATCCGGTTTGAGATAAGTAACCATTGTAAATCTAGACCTGAGTGTATGAAACCTCAGAATTTCGTACTGTTTTGATATATGAGGTTGCACACAGCTAGGTGACGGGCGTGTGGGCATGCACCCATAGGGATTGTAACTTGGTACGTTCAGAGGCGACTGTATAGTTGCATATTTTGATATACCCTATATGATATCAACGTGTTTAGAAATTAGTTTATTAATTTAGGCTGAATGCCATATTTGGGGCCTTTGTGCTGACCTGTTCAGACCCTTGGGGGTATTTTTACTACTTTTCTCACTCTATTTGATTTGAAAGCATATCCTCTGTCATGTTTTACCTGTTTATTGTTTAAATCCGGTTTCATCTCTCTACTTCTTAATATATGAAAACTGTATGGGATGAGTTTCCCTNTTTTACTACTTTCCTCGCACTGTTTCGATTTGAAAGCATATCCTCAGTCATGTTTTACTTGTTTATTGTTTCATCCAATTTCATTACTCTACTTCTTAATATATGAAAACTGTTTGGGCTAAGTTCCCTGATTTTTACAGAAATGCCCGAGTGGCCGTGAGTTTTATAACTGAGAGAGGTTGAGGACCTAATGGTGAGGATTATATATATGTTATGGATCGGGCTGCACGCCGCAGCGATATTATATATATGGATCGGGCTGCACTCCGCAGCGATATATATATGGATTGGGCTGCACGCCGCAGCGATATATATTGGATCGGGCTGCACGCCGTAACGGTTATTACTATTATTATATTATGAGATATCTATTGAGCCGGAGTGCTGAGTGTCAGTACTGATTGACAAGAGCTGAGTCACGAGTGACTGAGAGGCTTGCCCAAGAGGCTATACTTATGAGTGATACCTTGCCCGAGGGGCCCGTTTATGATATTTTGCTTCTTTTACTCTTCTTTTTTATACTGAGCCTCCGTTGAAAAATGTTGAATAAATGTTTTCAAAGTATTTTTTATTGAAACTGATGTTTTACGAGATAATTGGCTATTGAACCGTAGATTTTGACTTGATATTTTTGTTGAGATTCCTTATATGATTTTAAATGCTCGTCACTTTATTTACTTTATTTACTTACTGAGTTGGCGTACTCACGTTACACCCTGTACCTTGTGTGCAGATCCAGGTGCCCGAACATCAGAGTGAGAGCTTCGAGCACTCTCAGAGTCGTATCCGGAGATCGCAAGGTAGCTATACGGCGTTCGCAGCCCTGCCTTCCTCCTTCCTATTTTAGTATTTTATTATTTCAGACTATTTTGTATTATTCAGACAGTGTGTTGGTTGTACTTAGAGGCTCATGACTAGTGACATCGAATTCGGGTTGTGTTAGTATATTTTGTACTGGTTTCCACATATATCTGTTGATTTATATATTACATATGAGGAATTTGATACTTAATCGGTTTTAGAAAATGATTTTTATAAAAATAATTCGATGTGGTAGATGTTGGATTGGCTTGCTTAGTACTGTGATAGGTGCCATGCCGACCGGGGTATTTGAGGTCGCGACATAACATGACTTAAGTGATCTTAGTAGCAAGTAAGGATGCAAGCATTTGCAAGTATAGCATGATACGGGTCCTAAACTACCCGGACAATTAACATAATAGTAGCTACGTACGGACTTCCGTCACCACGTATGTACGTAGCCCCCACAGATAGTCACATACATTTATTAAATTCACCTATGAGGTTAATTTCCACTTAATAGGTTAGAAAGGAGACTTACCTTGTCCCAAAGCTTACTTCCAAACTCAAGAATGCGCTCAAACCCTCAAATCGGAGTCGAACGATCCAAAACTATTCAAATGAGATAAGAACTAGTCAATATATGCTCAAGAGTTCATATTCTATTAAACTAATTTCCCAACCCTAAATGCAAGGTTCCTAAAATTGATCCCCGGGCCCACGTGCCTGGATTTCGAAAATTCTCGAAGAAAGTTGTTACCCATAACTTAAGGATCAAGAATATATGATTTCTACTACATTCCATAAAAGAAATTGTGGTTAAATCTCATTTTTGTCAAAACCCTAGATTTTAATCTAATCCCATAATATTCACTAATCTTTACATGTTAATCTACCCAAAAATCAAGTATTAATCTCACATTAAGTAGAAATAACTTACCTCACAAAACTAGGTTGAAATCTCCCCTTTTGAAGCTCCCAAATCGCCCAAGAATGGAGTAAAATGTGTCAAAAATGACAAACTCCCATTATTTAATGGAGCCCACTGCCTTCAGCAGTTTCCGCATCTGCGGTCCAGGGCCGCTCCTTCGCCAACCGCATCTGCGAAAATTGGGCCGCTTCAGGGAAACTTCACTAGGCCTGCTGGGCCGCTTGTGCGGAAGGCCCCTCACTTCTGCGGTTTCGCTTCTGCGGAGAGCGGGCCACTTCTGCGGTTTCTGGGCTGGCCACCCATGGCTGCATCTGCGAGACAAAATCAGCACCTACGAGCTCGCATATGCGGCTGACCAACCGCATGTGCAGTTATGACAGAAACTAGGCTTTCAGCCATGGCCCAAAATTTTCCAACTTGGTCCGAGCCTCGTCCGATTGGCGCTCGGGGTCCCCGAGGCCCCTCCCGCACATACCCACAAGTTTAAAATAATAAAACAGACTTGCTCAAACCCTCAGAACACCGGAAACAACATTAAAACTAGGAATCACACCCTAAAACCAATTGATTCAAACTTATGAACTTCAAGTTCTTCAACTTACTTCCAATGTGACGAAACACACTTATACTACTTGGATTGACACTAAATTTTGCATGCAAGTCTTAAATGACATTATGAAACTATTCTCGATCTCGAAATTCCGTTCGGACCTCGATGTCACAAAAATCCGCTCCAAACCAAATGTAAAGAACTTCAAAATCCTTAAGGAATCAACTTTCACTATTAGGTGCCAAAATGCTCCCGGATCATCCAAAAACCGATCCGAACATACGCCCAAATTTGAAATCATCAAACGAACCTGTTTGAACCTTCAAATCCTGTTTCTGAGATCGTTTACTCAAAATGTTGACCGAAGTCAAACTTGGCCTTTTAAGCCAACCTTAAGGTACCAAATGTTCCGATTTCAACTCAAACTCTTCCAAATCTCGAACCAACCATCCCTGCAAGTCATAAATCAGTAAAAGCAAGTATGAAAGTCTTATTCAGGGGAACATGGTTCTAGAAAGCAAAACTACCAGTCGGGTCGTTACACATAATATGCTGGAAGTTCATACATATGTGCTCCAATCTCCAGTATATTATACTGAAACTTTCCGCGTGTTAGAGTTCCAGCATAATATGTTGGAAGTTCATATACAGGTGCACCGATCTCCAGTATATTATGCTGGAACTTTTTGTGTTGCAGCAAAATAGTGACTATTTTTCAATGACTTTACAAACGCTGGCAATTTTTGAATGACCAGTCCGAAAACTGGCTAGTCATTGCTATTTTTACTTTTTTCTAGCCATACACATAGTTAATACATTGATTAAACACAATAATACATATATAATACATAAACTATGCATATATTATACCTCCACCAGCAATTTTAGTTTACGCGGTTGGGTGAGCGACTATTTGGGTTAATTCTTCTAAATTTAATACGTACATACGACAAGAATTATGTGGAAGAAAATGCAAGAATAGAAACTATAGAAATGACACCATATAACCACTCTAAAGGACTGTTATTTAGGAATTAGCCAATATGTCATGAATTTTAGTTTTTCAGTTTAATTTTTCGGGACAAAAATATCCTGAATTGTTGGACGAAATAAGTATTGGCTAATACCTAAACAAAATACCTAAGAACGGTTGTTTTTGCACTTTCCCACAGAAACTCAAATGCAAACTTTTATATATTATAACAAATAAAAGCTCGAATACATAGGAAAGTCTAGTACGAGTGACTTACTTTTGCTTTCTTTCTTTCTTATGGTCCTTGGTGTAAAACATGAAAATAAACAGAGAACACTTATTTTCTTTCTCAGAAAGAGGCAGACACTTGAAGCCCAAACCACAAAGTGTGAAGACTGCCATGCAAGTGCTTGAGCCAAAGCTTAGACGCAGTTAGAAGAGAGAAGAGAGATTGAGATATGAGAACTATTATATTAAAGAATGAAGCAACAGTATTAATAAACTTTACTAACCGCCTAAACTAACTAATGCACAAATTACATAATTACCCTCTACACTATAACTATTTAACTACCCTTCTGTCTATATTCCCAATACTCCCCCTCAAGCTGTGTGGTGTGAATAAGTGAATAAGTTGTACACTCCCAACTTGGACAATAGAAAATCATGTTGTGCCTTCCCCAGTCCTTTGGTTAGTACATATGCTATCTGCAAGTTTGTATGAATATGTGCAGTCTAAATTAGGCCATGTTGAACTCTCTCTCGAATGAAATGGCAGTCGATCTCGATATGTTTGGTCATCTCATGATAGATGGGATTTGCAACAATCTAAATGGCTGTTTTACTGTCACAATACAGCTTTACTGGAAGTTTCAACTCCATATTCAACTCTTTGAACAATCCTGTTAACCATACCACTTCTGTTATTGTATTGGCCATGCTTCTGTACTTAGCTTCTTCAGAGTTCCTTGACAATGTATTTTGTTTCTTGGACTTCCAAGAGATAAGGGAATCACCTAGCTTTATTACAAACCCACTCACTGATCTTCTAGTCATTGGGCATGTGGCCCAGTCTGCATCACAATATACTATGAGTTGGTCAGAAGACTGAGAGGACAACAGAATCCCCAAACCAGGTTCATTCTTCAAGTACCTTACCACCCTCAATGCTCCATCCATATGAGACTTATTTGTCTTGTACATGAACTGGCTTAAGTTATATACATTATAGCTGATGTATGGCCTTGTCATGGTAAGGTACATCAGCTTCCTAACTAATTTCTGATTGTTGCTTGGATCATTAAGCAATTTATCAGTATCTAGGTTTCCATGTGTACTGGCTTGATCATACTCTGTACTGGTGAGCTTATGGCTTATGTCCAGAGGTGTGCAGGATGGCTTAGAACCAAACCTACAAGTCTAAGTGTGGCAATGATATCAAGAGTGAACTTCCTTTGACAAACCAAAATGCCATATCTGCTCCTTGCAACTTCAAGACCAAGGAAGTATCTCATCTCCTCTAGGTCCTTGATCTTAAAATTATATTAGAGCACAGTTTTAGCATCCTGAATTAACTGAGGAGAGGAACCAGTGATTAAGAGGTCATCCACATATATCAGGATAATGACCAAGTTAGAACCAGGTTGCTTACTAAAGAGGGAATAGTCATGATGACCCTGTACAAAGCCTGAGGATGAAAGGGCCTTACTGAGCTTCAAGTTCCATTGCCTAGAGGCCTGATTGAGCTCATACAAGGACTTCTGAAGCTTGCAAACTCTAGGAGGCTCCCCCTCACCTAGAAAACCATGGGTGGAGTAATATACATGTCTTCTAGCAAATCACCTTGAAGAAATGCATTGAAGACATCCATTTGGTGAAGCTTCCATCCTTTCATAGCATCTAAGGACAAAATAGTCCTTACTGTGACCATTTTCACCATAAGGGAGAAGGTCTCTTGATAGTCAAGACCCTCTTGTTCTATGTAATCTTTGGACACTACGCGAGCTTTACACCTTTCCACCTCCTCTTTTGCATTGTACTTCACATTAAACACCCATTTACACCCTATGGCTCTCTTGTCAACTGGCAAGGGAACTAAACTCCAAGTGTGGTTGTCCTGTAGGGACTACAATTTTGCATCCATGGCTGCAATCTACTTGGATCTCGAAGAGCATCAGCATAGGAAGTTGGTTCTGTAACAACTGAGAAAGAGCAAAGTGCCTTGAAGTAAGCTGGAGACAATGAAACATAGGACATGTAGGCAGACATGGGGTAGCTGGAACTTAAAGCAATAGAAGGTCCAGCTTTTGTTGTTCCATGAACAAACTCATTAAGCCAGCCAAGTGGTTAGAAGTCCTAGTAGACTATGTGGCATCACTGCTGTAGGAGGTGATATGAGGTGAGACTGCTGTAGAGCCTCAGGATCTAGGTCATCAGGAGTAGGAACTCAGGAATCCTCAGGATAAGGTGGAGGTGCAACTGCTGAATCAAAAGTTATCTCTGAGATTTCTGGGGTAGGATCTATGATGAAAGCATTATCAACATCAATAAACTACTCAACATTAGGCCTCCTATCTATGGATGTTGTTGTATTGAAAGGAAAAGTGTATTCCTTGAAAGATACATCCTTGCTTACAAAACAAATATTTATTAGTGAGACTGTATAGCCTATAACCCTTTTGAGTGGATGAATATCGCAAATGCACTGCTAGTTCTGCTCTAGCTCCAAATTTGTCACTTCTATCAGTGATAGTGGCATAACATAGGCTTCCTAGAACCCTGAGATGCTACAATCTAGGTGGTCAACCATAGAACATTTAAAAATGATACTTTCCTGATAATGCTGTGGATGGGATTCTATTGATCAGATATGCTGCATTCTACATACAAAATCCCCAGAACCTCAATGGAATGATTCCCTGAAACCTGATGGCTCTAACAACCTCAAGAATCTGTTTGTGGTTCCTCTCTACCACTCAATTCTGATGAGGTGTGTAGACACAGGAGCTTTGAAGAACCACACCTGCACCCTTAAACATATTTGTACAATGAGAATTAAAGAATTCTGTTCCATTGTCTGACCTAAACACCTTTATTGCACTGTTAAACTGAGTCTTTACAAGAGTCATGAAATCCTTTATGACAGTAGGTACATCACTTTTAAGTTTGAACAGAAATATCCAAACCATTCTATTATAGTCATCTGCTAAAGTGAGAAAATATCTATTCCCATCATAGGTAGAGGTTCTATAAGGATCTCATACATCATCATGTATCAAAACAAATGATTTAGAACCCCTACTAGTACTTTGTGGAAAAGGAAATCTTGTCTGTTTTGCCAAGGACAAATAGGACAACATTATTACTATGCAACCTACTATGTTTTATTATGCGCATTTGCTGTAGAATCTTATGTGGAATGTGCCCAAGTCTTCTATGCCATAACTCTTCTTCATTGGTCACACACACTGCTGTTGAGGCTTGAACTCTATCTTTATCACTGTGAAGCCAATAGTATAGATCTGGTTTCAACCTACTAGTCCACCTTACCTTCCTAGTGTGAAGGTCCTACATTAGGCAAAAATCAGGAAAGAACAACATACAACAATTTAGTTCCCTAGTCAGTTTCGACATTGAGAGTAAATTGTATTTAAAACCTGGAATGCAAAGCACATTGGATATAATCCCTTGATCTAAATCAGAACTTCCTACATAAGAAATGGCAAGCTATCTCCATTTGGCAAATGAACTTTTCCACCAATACATTTAGACTGCTCTTTAGGCTTAGAAATTATTGCAGTGTTTGAAACCATATGATTTGTTGTCCCTGTATCTAGTATCCACTTATCACATTTGTTTTACTATCAGTAGAATGAGTTACACTAACTGTAGTTGCAAGCTTTAGAGGACCAGTTATACCTGATGCATTAGTTGTTGGCTCAGGTGTATTAACCTTCTATAGCATCTTCAGAATTTGGTCATATTGTTCTGGGGTGAATGGCATTGGCGTTTGCATGCTCAATCCTGCATCTTTCTCGGCACCTGCATAACTATTTGTTGATCATGTATACCCTTCATTGGTATGATCAACACTTGGACCCAATGGTCGTGTAGCTCCATAACTTGTGTGTACATTTCCTAAATTTTTCCCCATTTCTTGATATTGTCCATGATTCCCTAGTTGTGCAGAATTACCAAAATGTGTTGAATTAGTCACTGGCTTCCTTCTGCCCTTGAAATCTGTTGGATATCCAATCAATTGATAACAATTCTCCTTACTGTGTCCTTTCCTTTTACAGAATTCACACTGTATATTGAAATTTCTTCTAGGTTTGTACATCTGAGGTCTTTTAGCACTCCAAAGTGCAGTAATGTCATTTCCCTCCATTAATGAGTTGAGACTGGAAGAGTCGCGCCCTGACGATCCTCTTTGAGTCTCATCCTCGATAACCATGGCATACGCTTGATTTAGATTAGGTTCAGTGGATCTCATAAGGATTTGATGTCTTGCTTGACTATATGAGTCATTTAGACCTCCTAGAAATTGAAGTAGTATCTGTTGACTTTAGTGCTCAGCATAGTCCTTCACAGAGCTAGGACGTGGCACAATTGTGTCAAATTTTCCCTACAATTCCTTCAATTTTGTAAAGTATGTAGAAACAGAGTCGGTACCTTGAGATATTGTTTCAAATTCCCTATGTAGCTGATAGATCCTCATTCGATGGAACTTATCAAATCTTTCACGAAGATCCTCCCACATAGCTTAGGCATTCGATGCATACACTATCCCGCTGAGTAGATCTGGCGATACAGTATTCATAATCCATGAAAGGACTATAGCGTTACAAGTTTTCCAATCCTCGTGATGAAGCCTTAGTGTGTTTACCATCAATAAACCCTAGCTTTCGCTTGGATTCAAGTGCAATCTTCATCGATCTCTACCACAAGCCATAGTACTCGGATCCTTTGAGCTGAACCGGATTAGCACTGAGCTTGGAGTATCTGATGGATGCACGAATAGCGGATGCGTATGATCATTTTTTTTCCCCATTTCTGAATCGAAGAAAATGCCTAAATTTTGAGAAATCGTCTATCTTCTAACTGAGCTCTAGCTTCTACAATCGAAAAATGAACAAGCGTGTTTAGATATTCTCTGATGGCTCTAATACCATGTCGAAGACTGCCATGGAAGTGCTTGAGATAAAGCTTAGAAGCGGTTAGAAGAGAGAAGAGAGACTGAGAAATGAGAACTGTTGTATTGAAGAATGAGTAATACTACACTTTACTAACCGCCTAAATTAACTAATGCAAAAATTACATAATTACCCTCTACACTATAACTACTTAATTACCCTTGTATCTATATCCTCAATACAAAGGAAAAAAGAAAGTAAAAACAAAAATAAAAACAAGCAGAATTAATTTAGAACCTCAAAGGCAGAGATCAATAGATTCAAAATAAGTCTGATTTTATTATATGTAAACAAAGTGTGACTTAAAACTACGTGTTTAGTTGAATCCACAGAAACCACCAACATTGCAAGCCACCCTATTCAATGCCATGTATCTTCCTGAGCATGACAACACACTAGTAAACCTTTTCAGGATCTGGAAGAACACTGGAAACACTCTCCCTTTTAAGGCATCTCTTTATCCAGCAGGCAAATTTAGGGTACTCTTCTTCAACCTTAAAACCCCCGAATACCTCGTAAGTGTGGAACCAAGATGTCATGGCAATGGCTATGACATCAACGTACCCAAAGTTGTCTTCTCCCAAGTAATCCGTGTCACCCATAGCTCCTTCAAGCTTCTTCAGTTCTATGAAATCCTTCTTTCTAACCTCCACTTTTTCCCTTTTGCTCTTCCATATACCCATCCCCGCTTCAAATATCTGCACATGAAACACGTAGAACAAAGTTAAAAAAACATAATATATGTATAGAATGTTATGGTGTATTAAATGATTTTTTTCTTGACCAAAACATACATAATAATATATACTACAGTAACAAATAATTAACATCCCTTAAGGTTTATGACCACATAATAGCAAGAGCGATGGCTCTAAAATTTTGTCCAAGTACGTGTGAACTATCATTACACCAATTACTACTTTGTGACAATTGGCGTACACACACGTACACACACATACACATATACATATATATATATATATGTATATATATATATACGGGCAAAATTGGAGAGTTTGATTTCAAAGACTTGACCATACCCCGACCTTTAGTCGGGACGCTCGAGCTAAGAATCGAGCTTGGCCTGGATGTACGCACCTCGAGATGCAAATCTGAGACTCATCATGATCTGCCTCGAGGGTAGTACAATTTCGATGACACTCAAGAAAGAGCGGGAATTTCTCAAGGACACGTGGGTCAGGGCATAATTTATGGAATAAGATTTGTACGAAATAGTACAAGTCCGTACTAGGTTGTTATACAGCTGTACCAATAAAATTCTTTACCATAAATGGAAATGTACCATATTAGGGTTTTACCCTCCTATATAAAGGAGACCCCAATTATTTGTAAAGATTATCTCATTCACTGCAATAGAACATTCTATTCTGCTTTTCTCGTTTACTGTGCTTCGCAATTGTTCTTTAGCTTTATTGTTTTTACTTTGTTGTTCGTACTTTGCTGCTCTTAGCTTACCTCGAGGCCCCCTAAACAATCGAGTTCGAGGTCCTTATTGCTCTAACAACACAATTTGGTTCATCAATTCTTCTTACTTAAACCTAATATTATTTGTATATTCACTAGTATTGGAATAAATTACATATCTTTAAAATCACAAATCATACTTAATTGTTACTCATATTTTTTGAGGCAAATATTTTGGCGCCCACCGTGGGGCTAAAGATAATAGTGATTATTTTAGTACTAGTTTTCTGATAACACACGTTATTCTTCACACTTTTTCTTATCAAAGATTCTTTGATTTCAGGCTAAAACATGTCTAGCACACAAAATGCACCTGTCCATGACAATGAAGGTCTCGAAAAAAACAGCATTATGGGGGTCAGTGTACCACCAATTAACCTTGAGGAAGTGCCAAATATGGAGCCAGTTGACATCAATTTGCATAACGCTCTAAACGCTGATTTAGGTGCAGACCCCATAGGGGATGCGCACAGGGAAGCCCGGCCCGGTGGCCAAAGAGCACAAGGAATGGAAGAAGGGGGAGTCAGTCTCCAAGTGATATTCGAGATGCTGCAAGCTCAGCAAGTCACCATCTCTCAACTTCTAAGTCAGAATAGAACTCCAAACACCACCGAACCAGAGAACACTCGGCTCGCGGAACTGGCGCTCGAGAGACCCGATGAAAGTGGCTTGAGGACTAACCCCACAATTATGAAAATGCTTGAGGAACTGACTAAAAGGATCGAGTTAGGAGAAAGGAAAATCGAAGACAATGATAAGAAGGTGGAAACTTATAACTCCCGGGTAGACCAGATACCGGGGGCACCTCCGGTCTTGAAAGGTCTAGACGCCAAAAATTTCATACAAAAACCTTTCCCCCCAAGTGCGGCTCCAATGCCCATTCCCAAGAAGTTTTTCATGTCCGATATAACAAAATATAACGGAATAACTGACCCTAACGAACATATTACTTCATAAACTTGTGGAATAAAAGGAAATTACTTGAATGACGATGAAATCGAGTCGGTATTATTGAAAACTTTTGGGGAAATGCTATCAAAAGGAGCTATGATTTGGTATCACAACTTAGATCCTAACTCTCTTGATTCATTTGCTATGTTGGTAGACGCCTTCGTGAAAGCACACGTTGGAGCCATAAAGGCGGCCACAAGAAAATCGGACGTCTTCAAGGTAAAACAAAGGGATGATGAGATGCTAAGGGAGTTCGTGTCCAGGTTTCAGATGGAAAGAATGGAATTTCCACCAGTCTCCGATGACTGGGCAGTTCACGCCTTTATGCAAGGCTTGAATGGAAGAAGCTCGATTGCATATCGAAGGCTAAAGAAGAACTTGATCGAATATCCAGTTGTGACATGGTCAGATGTGCACAATCGTTATGAGTCAAAAATTAGGGTCGAGGACGACCAGTTGGGATCCCCTTCGGGCTCAGTTCATCCCAACATATTCGCAGCCAAGCCCCCGAGGGACACAGATCGGGAATTTAGATTCTATAGAAAATAGTACCAGCCGTATGCCGAACGAAGAAACAACGGCCTGAGCCATAACACCCCTTAGAACGATCAGAGAAATGATTGAGATCGAAGTTCTTGGGGACTCATGAGTAAGAGCGGGTTCAATAAACTCACTGAATCCACAGAGGATCCCCGATTATCAGAATACAATTTCAGCATAGATGCGTCGGATATTGTCTCAGCTATCGGGAAAATCAAAGACACCAAGTGGCCCAAACCAATTCAGATCGATCCTTCTCAAAGGAACCCGAATTTGATGTGCAAATATCATGGCATGCATGGTCATCGAACAGAAGATTGCAAAATTCTGAGGGAAGAAGTGGCTCGTTTGTTCAACGAGGACCACCTTCGAGAATTCCTTAGTGATCGGGCCAAGAACCACCTCCGAGAAAGAGATGCAAGGAAAAATGAGCAAGAAGAACGATAACACGTAATCCACATGATCCTTGGCGGAGTTGATGTTCCCCAATGACCTGCGTTCAAATGCACTAAGGTGTCAATTACAAGAGAAAAACAGACTCGGAGCCATGAGCCCGAGGACATCTTATCATTTTATGACGGGGAAGCGGGAGGCATATTTCATCCCCATAACGACGCCCTAGTAATCTCTATCCTTTTAAATAAAATTCAAATTAAACGTGTTTTAGGGATCCAGGTAGTTTAGCAAACATAATCAGATCGAGGGTCGTGGAACTACTCGGCCTGTATGGACAGCTTGTACCTGCGTCCCGAGTCCTGAATGGCTTCAACATGGCAAGCAAAACAACAAAGGGAGAAATCACCTTGCCAGTAAACGTACTGGGGACCATTCAAGATACGAAGTTCCATGTGATCGAAGGCGACATGAGGTACAACACACTCTTGGGGAGACCGAGGATACACAACATGAGGGCAGTGCCTTCAACTCTTCACCAAATGATAAAGTTACCGGCAGAGGAAGGAGTAAAAACAGTCTACGGAGAGTAACATGTTGCAAAAGAGATGTTTTCTATAGATGAAGTGCTGCCGGTACCTGAGCCCTTGACCTCGAGCAACAAAGTCCCTGTGCGCAGAGGACAATTTGGTTCATTTACAGGAAACATTTGCTATCTTGAGGAAATACAGCATAAAGCTTAGCCCGGAGAAATGTGCCTTTGGGGTTGGCACAGGTGAGTCCCTCGACCTCGCGGCATAAAATCGAGGTACCAAAATCAAGGCTATCGGGGGTATCACGATCAAGGATAGCGTGGAGGCCGTGCAAAGGCTAACAAGGAAAATGGCTACCTTGGGTCGATTTTGTTTAAGGTCATCCGATCGAAGTCACCAGTTCTTCTTTTCGCTCAAAAAGGAAAAAGGCTTCGCATGGACCCCGGGATGTCAGCGAGCCTTATAAGAATTATAGTGATATCCACTGAGCCCGCCTTTGCTTCATACCCCGATGGCAGATGAAAAACGAGAAACAACACTTGTTCGAATGGTCGCGCAAAAGCAAAGGATCAAAAGGTGCTACAATAAGAGGACCAACCTCTGACATTTCGGAGTCAGGGACTTAGTTCTATGAAAGGTCACCCTTGATACCACTGCTAAGGTACAATTTTATCCTTTTGTCCATTTGAGTTTGAAGCTAACTTCTTATAGATTTTGGATCGACGACATATGATTTTAGAGGCATCATTTTCTTCATGAAGGCCCTAGGTTTTAAAGCATGCGTTGCACTCTTTTTTCCTTAGACCGGATTTTGTCCCAAATGGGTTTTACCAGCAAGGTTTTTAACGAGGCAACAATTACGTGCTACCTAAGGAAAACTCAACAGTATCTAAGGCTTCTTTTCAATCATCCTCGAATACTGGGGGGCATCACCCTCGGAGGCTATATTTTTGACAAATACTCCATGCCTAAGAGGACCTCGATAGGAGAACTTTGTAATGGGCCAAACGGTCAAATGAACCGTATCCATATAGAATAGTCAAGCCCCGATGCCAAAACATTTACGCATATATCAACTATTTGAAGAAGCATTCTGGTTATATCAAAAACACTTTGTATCTCAAAGAAGTTTACTATCATACGAGCTCTAAACTTACAATCCTACGGGAAGCGGCTCAAGGGCCAAAGCACCCCGAAATACTTGGGGACTGTCACTAACAGTTAATACATCCAAGTCATCGAAAATTCGGACTCATAAGACCTCAAAGAGGCACCCCCTCGAAACAAAGGCCAAGGCCAATATACTTGGGGACTAACTTTTCGAACAAGTTCGGAAAAGTTATTGGGAAACAAGTTCAAGTGACGTACCCGAAGCCTACGTCCACATTTAAGGCTATGGTCATATAAAGGCTACGGCCAAAATAGCGCAGCTCGGAGACATCTGACTTCTTCTATAAATTAAAGGCCCTCAACTCTTGAAAATCGGTTAAATTAGGTTACCCTCGGCAAAAGCAAAAAATGAAGGGTGTCGATAAATTTAGCCCTCGAAAAATCTGAGGGCCTCGATAAATCCAACCCTCAATTAATCTAAGGTCTTCGATAACATCAACCTTCGGAAATACCTCAAGAGGTATTCAATTATGTTTACATAAACAAATAACCAATAAGGTTCCGATACGTCAAACCTTCGAGAAAACCCAACAGGTACAAAAAATACATGCTATGGCATAACTAAATTTTACTAAGTCTTTTAGCCTAAATGAGGGAAAAATTACATAGCCATTTTAAAGGCCAAA